TTCCACATGCTTTATTTTGATCATGTCTGCTGCATTTCATCTCAATGTCATTCGGCAGGCATAGACTTATGCTACCAAAAGATGGCGTAACTGTACTAATTAAGCCATGATCATTTTCTGCATCTTCACTTGAGAAAGTCTTTTCTAGATCTTTCCCTATACTGAGAAAAAATTCATTGAGGGCTTCTTCTTTTTCTTTGTCAGTGTGTAAAGCTTTATCCTGCACCGTTAATGCACCTATTCTTGGTTTTTGTTCATGTTTGCCATATCTTTGTACAATTTTCAGAACTGTTTGTGATCTTTAGCCTCAGACATACAGTTGATCCAATGATTAGCTTGTGCTTTTCTGATTTCTTTTCGAACTCCGCTATGTAAAGTTTTATAGCTATTCCAGTCATCTTTTCCTTTATCTTCCTAAACTTTTCTAGTGCCTTGCATCTCTGATTCATTAGTTAACGAATATCTCTAGTTATCCAGGGAAGTGATCTTTTCTTATCTTTACTTGTCCTGTAGGTATTTGCTCATTAACTATATCTTTGTACAATTTTTCCAAAGCCCATACATGATCATCAATGTCTTCAAAAACTGAACATACTGACCAAGGTGCATTTTCCAAATCTAAATTGTTTTCCAAATTGATTCGTTTAGAATTTTTTACTTTTTTGAAAACTGGTTTCTTTTTCAACCAAGATTTTATAGACACCATAAATTAGACTGTGGTCAGAAATGCCCAAAGGCCTAACTCCCGACTCTTTAATAAGCTGTAAAATACTTTCTCACTAAAAACGTGTATTATGTTTGCTGCTAGTATATCATATATATTATCTTATTACAAATACCAGTAATTTTGGCTTTTCAGGCTGGAATTTCAGGCTCGTGTTCTTATAAATTTGTTCTTCAAAACAAAATATAAAGCGTTTGCAACTATTAACGCAGCATTGTTGTGCAGCTTTGTACTTGTTTCTCTTTCTTTCTTTTCATCTTGTTTAATAATCTTTGTTTATTGATTTTCGTTTGTAGTGGAATTTTAAAACGAAATGAAATGAAATGAAATTGTTACCATTACCAGATGCCTCGCCTCCACAGCTACCTGACGCCGATCCCTTCATTTGCACAAAACATTGCCACTTATAAGAGCGACCCACGATTTTCTCTAACACACTTTACAAACAGCAATGTATAAAGATATTAACGAAAATATCCGTTTATAGACCCATTCATCTCTCTTATCCCCAGCTTTTAAGGACACTATTTAAATACGCCCGTAAAAACTCCCGTAGCAGATTAATCCGATCTTCTAGGTAGTTAAATCGTAAAAGACACATACCTCTTTGTAGATATCAGAGAGATAACCCCACTTCTCTGGGCACTTGGTTTGTGCTAGAATTTCCCGTTGAATGTGGTCCTTCCTGAAATAAACATCATTTCAGTGCGCAGGTAGAACAAGTTGAAGGAAAATCTATCTGATCTTGTTCCATGGCAACAGATTGAAAGAAACCCTCTACATTCATATCTAAAGAATATCAGGATTTTAGAATTCACCACATCTTTGGTGAAATTCTCGTGTTTGTGGTCAGCTTTAATGCACGTCTTATATCATCTAGGCGATTTCCTTCGATCCGTGAAACAAAGATTATTAGCACTAAACTTCTAAAATTGGTTGGAATTTGCCAAGGTATGGACAAAAAGCTAGGTTATTTCGTCGGTTGGTTTTTTTTATGATCAGGGATATTCTATTAGTGAAGAAAGAATTAGCAATGATATAAAAATTCTTTTCTTTTATGTAATGCAATCAAACACAAGAAAATATTGTATATTTCCATCATCAATTCCTTTCTCTGAACCCATTAAAGGCAATCTGTCTCGTTGTGGATTGGTTAACGAGAACAATAGCTGGAACAATAGCCTAAACACAATTCCAGCGCTCGCCATATTTTTTACAATGCGATAAATTAAAGGGGGACTGGAAACAATAAAAAATCCCTTTGTTCTTATAATCAATCAACGACGTGACAAATTGCCTCCTGCAGACGTCTTGGAACACTACACTAAACTTTTGAATATTCTCATACACATCTCTTCTCCTCCTCTGAACGAGGTTTTCAATGTTTTTATGGTGGTTAGATGTGGTCCAAAAGATCGTCTTCAGACTTTTTAGATATTCAACTGCTACCAACATTGTTTTGGGGAAGATGGGGAGCTGTGCCGGTGTACAGTTAATCTTTACAAAACATAAGCAAAAACAAAAGGGCGTTCAAACTTCTAAAGACGTTTGACAGGGATTGTTGCTTGTCATTTGATTTTAAAAATACTGAGACAGAAACATTTTATTTGTTTTTTTGTTCAGAGACATATTAGGGTCGTGTTTTTCAATAAATCAGACACCTCCGTAGTATAAATGAAAGTCTAAGTTAAAACGTATCTTTAAAAAAGGTTCTAATTGTTGCAAATTTAGGCCCTTGACTAGATAGTAACCAGCTTTGTGCATAATTCACGTTTCTTCAATTTCCTGTTATGTTAATATTGCCGTGTCATGTCACTTTTGTAGTATAACAAAATCAATTAATATTTGCATTTTTCTACCTACATGAATTAATTTGTAGTCACATTTTCTATCTTTCATTCGATACATAATTGAAAAAAGATCAATTGGCACTTTTGAGTTTGAAAAGGTATTTCTGTGATTGTTTCAACTCTTTTTATATTTTTTGTTGACTCTAAATAAGCTTGAATTTTCATGTTAGTTCTCTACCGGGGAAATTTTGAAGATCATACCATTTGGAGCAGCAGCGAGTCTCTAAATACATTTCTCCTGTCTATTCCTATACTTTATTTAAAATTCTTCAGTTATTTCAGAGTTCATGCTGAAGTTGCATTTGCAGCCAAATTTAAGATGTTTGCATATCAAAAATAAATTAAGTGCACTAGTTTCTCGGATAGACTGGAAAGCTGGACTGCAGCAAAATCAGATAACTTTCCATCGACACTTCTCAGTGTACAAATCATTGGATTACGAGCAAAAATTCTTATCCAGAAGAAAAACTATGACGCAAAGATATTTCTATCGATAGGAATTTGCGCGTTTATTCTAGCCTTTTCTTTGTGAGTTTAACAAAAAACAAACATTGAAATATTTACCATATTTCATCGTTATGCACTATATTGTAGATCTTTTTAGACTCCATCTTTCTGCAGTTGTTACCGATTGAAAATCGCAAGCTAGTGATTGAAATAAATGGCTGTTCGATAGAGTCGAAATCGAATCTGTTGCTCAGTAGAAAAGAAGAACGCAATGCAGCTCACCGTGAATTTGTGTGATTGCTCTTAGGGAGTTGCAAAGCGGCTAAAGGTACATGTTTTTTATAAGAAAGTAAGCGAGGCAATAATTGAATGAAATTTCTTAATCCGTGAAAATGTTTGCAGTTTCTTGCGAAAGAAACACATCCGGGGAGGGGGAGGGACCAAGTCAATTTTGGATCAGGACTTTTTGAACGTAAGTGTAGATGAGAAGAGTCGTCAATTGACAACTAGTGCTGCTGGTTACTATGCTTTAAAGGTAACGCGGAAGCGTTGTAATTTTTGCGAAAATAAGGGAAACTTTCAGCACGATTAGAAAAATAAGAAGCTACCTTCTCAGTTCCATGTGTGGGTATTTACAGGCACCGCCCAGCCATTGGGCTAGCAGGGGCTATAGCCCCTCCAATATTTTGCAAAAGTAGGTTAGAAAACTTTTTGGAAAGTTTACTCTTACTATACTCTAACACAACATTGAATACTCCTAGAAGTTGCAATTTTTCCTGACTGGAAACCCTTTTTTGTTCATTTTCTAGGTGTTTTCATTATGTTTTATAATTCCCAAGCTAATTTTATCTATTTTCATAGCTATCTACATTTTTTTAAGCAGACTTGTTATAAAACTTCAGTAGAAGTAAGCAAGTATTTTCTGAAAGGGGCGTTTTCCGGCGTTCTAGAGGGCGTGGTCTAAAAATTTTTTCGATCACACTCGTTTCAGCCGTCCCACATTCAGACTGGTGCGCGGTCCCTGGGAATTTATTAGGCGATTGCATGTTTTTCGCTGATATAAAGGAGTTCGTTGTTAATATTAATGGAACGAAAAAAATTGTCGCTGGTGAAAAATTGTCTTCGAAAAATCTAATGACATTTCAAAAGACATCACATGCGTCCAGATCAACCAAACTGAGAGATTTTGTCCCAATCTTAAGAAATTTAATCCAGCTTTGTTGCATCCAGCTATGATTATCTACAATATTGGCTACAATGCTTTCTAGGATCTCGGCAAAATATCTAAAAAGATATTAACCGGAAGTTTCCCCTTCCCAAGGTGTCTCCTTTCTTGTATCATGCGGCACTTTTGCCCCAGGGGGTCACTTGAACTTTGCAAATACAGGGGGTCTATCTGAGAATTATAGATAAATATTTTCCATGTGATCTGATACTTTCAGATACCTCAATTAACACATAGCAATATCAAAAAGGAATAAAAGAACAGGTGTGCTTAAAATGATTATTTTAGGAAACAGTCCTAACAGACCTAGAATAACTAAGTGGTATTTTATGTGCTCAACAAAAACATTTTGCATTTTGATATTTTCAGGTCTTATCATCACTTTTTAGCTGATAACTATAGTCCGGTTAGATTTGTTTTTTATGCTTTTAGGTGAAATTTGATAACTGCAGATAATAACTAAGGTGTCCAAAAGCACACTTTTACTAAAGTAGTGTATTGGCAGTCATTTGCGTCCTCTTCAGAATATATTTCTGTTTTAAGGAAGATAAAGGGATTAAAGTACGCTTTTGTGTATTCTCTTAACAGTTATAGTTTTATCTATGACCATGACGACAAACCAAAACTCAGATTTCGGGATAGTTGGAGGGTCATGGTAGCCAACCTTCTGATAGAATATGGTACTATATTACTATATGTGACTTATTCTAAAAACCAATCATAGTAGGTTTCACAAAATAGAAATAGGCAGCAACAAAGAGAAAGTTATGGCAATCCCGCGATGTTTAAAATACAAATATCACAACACAAAATTTGATTTAATTTTGAAAATATTAGTCACAGTCAGAGTATCGTTTTACCAGTTTTCATAAGACTAACTTGATCTAATTTTGGATAAACAGAATTTCCAATAAAAACTACAGTCAATTTAATCATATAGTAAATTAGTACCCGATTACCTTTTACTATCAAAACTCGATAAAGGAACATAACTATACATGTATGCATTTATATCACAGAATATAATTTTTAGCCTCATAACTTTTAGCCTAAAATTTGATACTTAGATTTTTTCTGAGGGTTAATTCAATTGTTTCAATTTTGAAAATTTTTTGCACTCCAAGAACAATTAAATATCCAATATAAATGTGCTTCGTTTATAAATTTTATCTTCATCACGAAGGTCATAAAGACGCTATTGCCGAATAATCGCAAAATGTTGTACCAAACCTTCGTAAAACGTTTTAATTGCCCAGACAGACGGTGTTCCAAGACCTAATGAGGTTCAAATACTGAGTGCTCCTCTAGTATTCCTAAACATTCGTGGTGGATTCTATATTCAAGTACAATTTCCGGTGAGATGTGGTTAATTCAGCTTACTTGTGTTTCCTATGTTTTGATATACCGGCTTTGTATTGTCTATGTCACTTACTTGGGTTACAAAAAGATGACTGGAAATGTTTTAATTGATGAAAAATTTATTCCTCACAATTTTCCGTTTTGCACGAGCGATGAAACAATCGCGTGGTTGAGTTTGCGCGAGTGCTTGACGCAAGCGATACTGATCGATGGTGTCAAACGAAAAAGCCTGAATGTATAAATAGTTGCCTAACAAAGCCACAAAATTCCCCTTATTTTTCAATGAGATTAATGTGAAATAAATTTTCAATGATATAATCCGAAAGAAAAATATTTAAAGACAGCTTATCATGCCAATTTCAATCCCAGTCTCCACTGTCTGTGGTATCAGCTCTAGTCTTTGGAGGTGGAATCATGGCCGAAATACGATCCATAGCAGAAACATCGCCAGTGCTTCCAGATGATTGCTCTGGCTTACTGCCAGAAATTCCTTTGCGCCGCATTGTAACTTTGCTAAATAAATCTGACATCAGATCACCTCCTGAAGCTGCAGCATTCGTTTTCTCCTTTTCCTTCTTTCTTTCCTCTTTTTTTTGACGTGCATCTTTCAATTTTGCTTTATCCTTTCCACCTGCACTTCTGATGGCAGCCATCAAATCAGCCCTTCCATCTGAAACCACCTCTGTGGGTACACTGCTTGGTACAGGTCCTAAAAAGATGAAAATAGATCTTTGATTGAGGAATGAAAAATTTGTCATTTCTGCATCTTTATGAAAGTTGTTTAGGATTTGGCGTACGCTTACAGCGGCTCTCCCATCGACCACTCAGATTTTCTTTTGCATAGAGAACATTTTCAAGCATTAAAATCTCTACGGTCTAATAATGACATCTTTATTACAAAGCCTGATAAAGGGTCAGGAGTGGTTATTTTGAACAAAAAGGACTACATCCAAAAAATGGAGAGTATTCTCCTCGACAAAGAAAAGTTCGAAAAATTGGGTGACGTCGAAACACAGGATAAAACGGCCAAGCTAGAGCGGAAACTTCAAAAACGCCTTTTGGAGCTGGTTAACTCAAAAGTGTTGACCAACGAAGTTTATGATAGGATAAGACCCACAGGTTCACAACGTCCACAAATGTATGGCCTCCCTAAAATACACAAGCCGAATGTCCCACTTAGACCCATTTTGTCTATGATTGGCTCAGCACAACACGAACTGGCTAAGTGGCTTTCTGAAGTTTTGGACCCTGTTCTTCAAAAATATTCAAAACACTGTATCAAGGACTCTTTTACGTTCGCTGAGTTCATGCAAAACTTGAACATCGAAAACGAAACATCTTTCATGTGTTCTTTTGACATTAGCAGTCTTTTCACTAATGTCCCTTTGAATGAGACCATCAAAATATGTGCCGACGCTTTGTACCGGAGCGAGCTTAATAGCCCACCATTCCCAGAGGAAGTATTCATTGAACTGATGGAAACTGCAACACGTTCAGTTGAATTCAGCTTTAACAATGAAATGTACCAACAGAAGGATGGTGTCGCTATGGGTAGCCCTCTGGGACCTGCATTGGCCAATATCTTTGTTGGCTTTCATGAAGAGCGTTTGTTTGACTGCGACCAAAAGCCAGGTGTCTATTTTCGGTATGTGGATGACACATATACTATTTTCAAAACAGAGGCTGAGTGTGATATTTTCCTAAAACGCCTTAATGGTCTTCACACAGCCCTAAATTTTACATTTGAAAAGGAAGAAAATAACTCCTTGCCATTTCTTGATGTTTTGGTTGAAAGATCTGACACTGGATTTCTCACCAGTGTATACCGTAAACCCACATTTTCGGGGTTATACACTCGATGGAGTTCGTTTTGCCCAAAACAAAGAAAAATCAGCCTCATCAAAACGCTCACACATAGGGCACTGATGTTTTGTTCCAAGTCTAAACTCGACTCGGAACTTGAAAAACTTACTAAGATTTTTCTGGAGAACGGCTATCCAGAACATGTTATTTCAGTTTACATTAAGGAGAAGATAGGAAATTTCTCGGCTGACGTAAAATTTGGTCCTCAAAAGTGCCCGGTCTATCTAAAACTACCTTGGATCGGTAACAGCTCCCTACGTTTTGAAAGCCAAATAAAACAGGCCATAACAAATTGTTTCTTCGCGGTTAACCCACGTGTTGTTTACAGTACAAAAAAGGCCCTTCCGTCCATTCAAAAGGACTGCGTTCCTGCCACAAAAAAAAGTTCTGTTGTGTATGAATTCACGTGCCAGTGTGATTCTGGCTACGTAGGACGCACCACCCAAAGATTGGAGGATAGGATAAAACAACACGTTCCATCTAATATTAGAAACAAAACAAATCCCCAAAGAGAACAGCCACCTCGGTCTTGCAAATTCAAAATTACTAATAAGACCTGCGATTCTGCTATCGGGCAGCATTTGCTAGAAAACCCAGTTTGTGCAAAAAACTATAATGGCGACATGTTTCGGATTATTGGTAAAGCCCGATCGTCGTTCCACCTAGCAGTTTTAGAATCTATCTACATAAGCACGAAAAAACCGCTACTGTGTAGACAAAAGGAGTTCGTTTTCACCTTAGGTCTCCATTGGTAACATTTCTAAAGGAGCGGCACTGATTGGTCAACCTATACAGTCATGTGCTCGTGTTTTCTGATTGGCCTATTTCGATCCACAACTGGGTATATATATTTCCTAGCGTAGAGTTTTCGATCTATGTTCTGACGTTTTAAACTCTGAAGAGTGTCAGACGAAAAGCTTTAGTTTACTAAATGTTTGCTTTTTTCAAAGCTATTTACAAGTTTTGTACCACCAAAAGATTGTTTGAAAGGTGTTTACAACACTTTTTTTACTGCTTTATCTATTTTGGGAAAAACTGAGCTTTAAAATAATTGTACTAGCTAGAAAAAAACACACTGATTTTGTTGCTGCTACAAAAGTGTCGAAAATTACATTTCCTACCCTGAAGATCTGGTTTGATTTTGTAAACATTATAATTTAATTACATTACAATTTTATATTGACGATTTTGCCTACTAAATAATGATATAATTTCTCATGACATGCCCTAAAATAGAAATGCTTCTAATAAATTGATTTGTCTACTCAAAATAGGCTGTACACTTATAAGATAAACGTTTTGATCACCTTAAAGACAATGTCATCAAAAACGTTTGGAGTTTTGCAAACTTAGAAATATGTGGCAAAATAGTCCCTGTAATTGAAAATCAGAGCATGCTGAATCAGGGATTTCATTAGAAGCCGACAACTGGTGACAGTCTGCCTCTTACTCACGAAAACTTTGCTGCCTATTTTCACCATCACTTGGGTAAGAATTTACTAGTTTAGTAAACTTGGAGATGCCTACTTTTAAATGGGAGCTTTCTACTTCAAAAATTTAAGAAAACCCTGCCGAATTAAGGATCAAATTTTTGAAAATTCATTAGAAAATATTTCATTTTTCTAGTAAGTGTATTAACGATATAGACAAAGCACTCTAACAACTTACCCTTAGGGGTATTCATAGGTGGCGGAGGTGGTGGTGCTGGCATATTCTCCATAGGTGGTGGTGGTGGTGGTGGTGGTGGGGGTACATTTCCTGGAGGAGGAGGAGGGGGTGGCTGAGAGGAAAAGTCGCCTGGGGGAGGTGGGGGTGGTGGCATGACTGAGTCACTTGACGAAGGTGCTTCTGGTGCAGCAACATCAACACTTGGCAGCTCAGGTATGTTCATCGCAGGTATGAGTGATGGAGCTATTGATGGTCCTAAATCAGCACTGAAAGATGAGATAACAAAGAAATCAGGGAAACATAAAGAATACTTTGAAATAGGCTTCCTACATCAGTGGCGGCATTTAGCGGTACTAGTGGTACCAGTCTAGTACGATTTTATTTTCATGCCAGCCGCTACTGTCCTACATCTTTAGTGAGCTACACGACTGTGGGAGAATGAAAAATGCAAACTTTGCAAAGGGAGCTACAGATTTGATTATTTTTGGCATGAGGGCAGTCCTGGTGATATTAGGCGTGCGATCACATGCGAACGCCTCCACACAGGCAAAAAACTGCCAAGGCCTGCTTTTTTATCGCATGCACAGTTCCATGTTTTTGAATTACTATTCTTCTTCTCTTTTGTTTCTTTCAATTTCTTGTTTATTTTCTTTAAAGTAATTTTTAACTGGATCTGGTTCTAATTTAACTGGATCTAATTTAAGCAACTGGATCTAAAAACTTGTATGCTTTTTACTTAATTATTTTATTTTCAAGAAACTTCTTCCAAATTCCCTAAAAATTATTTGGTTGTATGAAACAGTGATACTCCCTAACAGTGAGTATCACAACCCTTCAAATACATACATGGCATTTAAAATGCTATCAGGTCTTCATAAAAATCGTAAGGTCTCCATTTTATGGATCACACGTCATTACAGGCCTAAACTTTTCAAGTTGTGCTATTACCAGCATGCCAACAAAATTTCGCATTACCAGGACTGCATGAGGGTGTTAATATTTTAAAATAGGCAAATACTTTGCCAAATTAAAAGTATGCAAAAAGTGTAGTTTTCAAATGGAATAGAACTGGATACACAACACCCATTACCAAAGTATAATTTCGGTGAACTTCACTTATAAAGTATAAGTCCACTTTATATGGATTAATTATATGGTTAAACCAAGCATGTGCCATGCCTGGTAAACATGACCTAAGTTATAAACCAGGATTTAGCTGAAAGTGGCTTAAGAAAAAGCTTGGAAGCTGCTAAGAAAATTTCAGCTAAAGTTATTAAAATTCAATTAAATTGAATTTTAGATTATTAAAACACAAGAAACCAAACTCAACTATATAGAACTTGTGTAATTTGAGAGAAAAAGATTTTATAGTCCCCAAGGCATTCTTTCATGCCTGTACTATAAGAGGTAA